TACTGGAGTGTTCGGGTAAAACCTGTCATAATTTTGTCAAAATCAAGTTAGGACCAATTTTGGAAATATATACTGTAATTTACTCTTCCTGAGACAAGGGCAAATAAATACAAAGCAATTTATTTTAAAAAGCAGTAGGTCAATCCAGGGAGCTGGGTGCAGTTTTTGGCCATTACGTAAGCTTATATTAAAATTAGTTTTTATGACACTAGGCTTTACCAAAACACTCAAGACCGGTGTTTGAAATGAGGTAAGAATTGATGGTTCGTGTTAAACATGTCATTCCATATTCTGTCCATTTCGTAAAGACCATGATTTTAAATGTTAGCTGTAAGGCACCAATTAATAAAATCATAACCTAATATTCATTAAGGCCTTTATGTACTAACCAACAAAGGTTTAAATNTCCTTCCCCTTCTCTCTCTCCCCCTCTCCCTCCCTCCCCTTCTCTCTCTCTCCCTTCCTCCCTCTCTCCCTCTTTCCCTCTCTCCCTCCCTCCATCCCTTGTCTTCTCTCTCCCTCCCTGTCCTCTCTCCTCTCTCCTCTCTCCCCTCCCTTTCCTTCCTGTCCTCCTCTCCAACCCCCTCCCCCACCCCTGTCCTGAGTGCAAAATTTTGCATAGGCTTTGTGGCAGGGCATCAGTACAGGTCTCTCTTTTCCCAAATGTGAGTAATCTCCAAGTGAATGGTGCAATTATGTCTTGTCAGATTTCCATGATTTTGTCAAGTGTGATATTTCTTGAATTGATGAGTTGGACCGACTCTTTCTCTCTCTCTTTCTTTCTTTCTCTCTTTCACTCCAGCTATTTTCTGGAACTGGGCTTGGGACGATGATTGTATTGATGAATAAATTATAGCAGAAAAATGGTGCAAGAAGTGTGACTAGCATAGTAGTATAAACCCCTACCTCTCTCCTCCTCCTCCTCCTCCTCCTCCTCCTCTCTCCTCCTCCTCCTCCTCCTCCCTCCTCCTCCTCCCCCCTTTCTTTTTTCTTCTGCTGCTGCTTTTTCTTCTCCCTCCTTCTCCTCTTCTGCTACTTCTTCCTCCTCTTCCTCCTTCTCTTCTTCTTCTTCATTTACCTTCATCCTAAGGCTTCTATTTGTAGAATAGCTATCATAGCGGGATAGGAGAACATGATTATGTTTATATGATGTCTTGGAATTTTGTTGATGCATGAAAGTATTGACTTGTATGTTCCAATATCAGTATTTTTCGCTAGGTTGAGTCATTGATTCTTATGTATGGAAATGTTTATTTTTTATTTATTTATTTTTATTGTATCATGGCTCAAGTAGTAGGAAATAGAAGCAGTATTTTAATCTTGTCCACCTTCTCCTCCTCCTCCTCCTCTAATTCCTTTCCATCTTTTCTAGCATTAAATCTGTTTTCCCACTCCCATTCTTTGGTTTGCAGCTGCCTTCTCTTAGCTTTCTCTCTCCATCACTTCTGCATTTACTAATTGATTTGTAACCTATAACAAAATAACTGGCAGTTTTTCAAACAATTTTGGATGTTGGGTTTCGGTTTCAACTTGACAAGTTATTATTAATGGATGTAAACTTTATTTTGTATTTATCCAGGTAGATTATCCCATTAATTTTTGTTATCATTGCAGGAACTGGCAGATATCCGAAAGTCTGGAATAAAATCCTTCAGGGATATACAAGTGGATGAGAGCAATATTTTAACATGGCAAGGGCTCATTGTTCCAGTAAGTATAAAGATGAATTTTTATTTCTATTTTGTGAACCATTACTTTTATCTACTATTCTATTCTTACTTAATTTTTGATATCAAGTGCAATCTTGATATTGTTATTCAGTATGTAAAATGTTTTTGGTGATTTCATGAATATGTAATAGTTTTTACTGTGAAACAGTACTTTATTCTTCATGTGTAAGGATAGCTATACAGTGCATAGTTTGACACATTTTTGTTATTTCCCTTTCAGGAAAATCCTCCATACAATAAAGGTGCATTTAAGATTGAGGTGAATTTCCCAGCAGAGTATCCCTTTAAGCCCCCGAAGATAAACTTCAAGACCAAGATCTACCACCCAAATGTTGATGAGAAGGGCCAGGTGGGTCTGCTGCTTGTTTTTGTATCAAAAGATATTAACCTCTACAATCTGGATGATGTGACCAGCATGTCATGGAAAACTTTGGCTTGAGGGAGGGAAGATGTAAACATGCTGTCATTGGAAAATCTGGCTCTGGGCCGGAATGATGCAAACTCATTGTTGTGAGCATTTCAGCTGAAGGCCAGGCTGACAGGAAAGACTTGCCACAGATGCACAAGCCTCTTGGAGGGTGATTAGACTTATTTGATGTTCAAAAAGGGATTTTTACATTATTCTGTCAATGAATTAGTGGAATGTAGTGTCCATGTGTAGTGACTGGAAAATCACCAGCTCCAAGGAAGAGTTCATCTCCATTCTCAGCATAAAGAGACATAAGGACTGTCTTTATGCTGTTTTTTCTGTGTTGAAGATTATTCTGCTTTAGAAATAAGAAAAGATTTGAGGCCTTTTTCTATGAATTATCAGATGTTAATTGAGGTATCTCCTACATTTTAAAGCTGTATTTTAGTAAGAATACAAATTGTGGCATCCATCTTTACAACTGATGCAATGACAATAAATGTAGGGAAGCCACATCACATTTTAATATACTAAATGTGTATTATTACTGTTTAATATAAACAAGATGTTTTGCCATATTTACCTTATTGTCTTATTACAATTAATTATCAAAATAGGGTCTATAACGATATAAATATTTGTTCTTTTACCAGCATTAACTCTGAGCTGTAGAAACTTTGCAAATCATAAACAAAGTCGCAAAGTGCAGTCCTTTCGTGAACACCACCCCCAGATTTGAATGGTTAAAGAATGAAGTGAGAATATACACTAGGTGCAGTTTTCCTGGCTCCTTGTATATGCATTCTGTTAGATACCATTGAAGTTATTAATTGATGAGGTTACTTCTCGTGGCCAGTGATGTTTCACATGAGTATCAAAGCATTTTAAAGTAAGTTGGTAATAGTGTCAGCTGTCTATGTAAGTAAGAATAAGCTTCAGGATAAGGGTTTTACATGCATGGATTGTACTCTTAAGCATTTTCCTGCAGTGGGAAGAGAAATGAGAGCTTTGTTTTGGGATTATAAACTAGTTTGGGGAAGATATATGGATCATATGATATCTCAATGAATGAAGTTCTAGCTAATTAGTTTTGTTGTCGGGAAACGTTGTTAAGATGTGTTGGCTTTTATTTTCATTTTGTAATGCCATTTATTGTGTAAAAGTCCTCAGGAAATTAACCTGAATTATAATTTTCTCTTTCTTCTCTCTGCAGGTATGTCTCCCCATCATTAGTGCTGAAAACTGGAAACCTGCCACTAAAACAGATCAGGGTATGTGTTGTCTCTTTGTTTAATAGATTATAGCATCTGTTTCCGCGTTTTGTAGCATTTTAAAGTTAGTTTATCATTGATGTGATAAGCAGGTTTTTAAAGCATTTTCCTTTCAATTTTATTATCTTTGATATACGAATTGTCATTTACATGGTAGGGACATAGGGCACTGAATCTCATATTGTCAAGGACATAATGTAGTTGCTTTGTGAAGGAAGGTTGAAGATCCTTTTTGCAGTCTGGCATAAAGTAAAAAATGTAAGAAGGTTTGGTTAGAAGTAAATTTCCTTGTTTTATGGAAATATATGTTCAATAGATATACAAGAAATATATTTAACCCATATATATAAATAATTTGTAAAATTTATGATAATTTTGTTGAACAATCTCTAAAGTATAATTTTAAATTATGTATCATGTATTACCAAACCACTTCTGTATTTTATTTGTTAGTAACTAGTTGTTTTTTCCACACATGCGCACACACACATACACACGCATGCACACATGCACCACACATTGCACACATGCACACACACACGACACACATGCGCCACACACGCACACACATGCGCACACACACGCCACACATGCGCACCACGCACAACCATACACACACACGCGCAACACACGCACACACATGCGCACACACACCACACACATGCGCACACACACGCACACACACGCACACACATGCGCACACACACACACACATGCGCACACACACGCACACACATGCGCACACACACACACACGCGCACACACACGCACACACATCGCACACACACGCACACATGCGCACACACACGCACACATGCACACACACACACACACACACACACACACACACACACACACACACACACACACACACCACACACACACACACATACACACACACGCACATACACACACACACACACGCACATACACACACACGCACATACACACACACGCACATACACACACACACACACACACGCATACCACACACACACACGCATACACACACACACACACACACACACACACACACACACACACACACACACACACACACACACACACACACACACACACACATTCTCTCTCTCTCTCTTTCTCTTTCTCTTCTCTCTTCTCTCTTTCTCTTTCTCTTTCTCTCTCTCTATGTGGTTGTTTATCTAATTACTAGTTATTAATTTATAACCATCAGAATTAATTTCCCTTAAAGAATTTATATTCTGATCAATTTGCTGAGTATTTACGTGGCCCAATTTTGGTTCACAGTGATTGAGGCATTGATCAACCTTGTAAACGAACCAGAACCTGAGCACCCTCTCCGTGCTGACTTGGCAGAAGACTACACAAAGGACCGCAAAAAGTTTATGAAGAATGCAGAAGAGTTCACCAAGAAGAATTCAGAAAAGAGGCCTGCAGACTAACTAGGCAGTTTATGTGTAGTCTGTGATTTGCAGAGGCACTTTTCAGGCAGACTTTATTAAGAAATGTATCTTTTATAGCTTATGATATATGACATTCATTTTTTCTCTCAGAGAACGAATATGGACATGAAATTGGCAATTAATATTGATGATTATTTTTGTTTTTGTTTTTTTCCATGTTTCTCAAAAGGGAGCATACATCTTAGTTTATCCCCTTGACAGTGGATCCCTTAGTATGTGTCTCCCATCATCAAATAAATGCATGAACCTTGTGTAAATTACAATCTATGCACTCATGTTATGAAAGAAGTATTATGATGAAAGTGTAAATTTAAGGAACATTCCAAAGATTTGATTTAAATCCAAAAATGTGTTTCTTCTTTTTGTTTTTGTTTTAGTGCCCATGTAGTTGTGATATTGCTCTAGGACCTGAAAGCAAAAAAAAATTAAAATTTCTGTGTCGAAAGCATACACTTTCAGACGGCAACCTTATGATTTTATGTTGTTTTTCCTAGGGTCTTTTCAGTGGATAATTTCCATAGCATCCATAATTTTTTGTGTAATCGTGTAAAAAGAGGTAAATTAAAAAATGAAACGCAGGTAGATGTGTGCTAAGGTGTTTTAGAAAAATGAGGAAAGAGCACCCAGCCCACACAACATGTTAGCTAAGCACAGGGAAGAAAGCTGTGGCCTTTTTGTGTTATGAATAGCATTTGCTTTTCCTTGAGGACTGAAACCTAACTTCATGATGGCACTTGGAAGGAGTTGCTCAGAGCCTATGGTTTTGTCGAGCCTACAGTGCCGAAAAATGGATTGATGTGAGGTTATCCATTTATCGGAGGAGTAGAGGATATTGGATATTTTGCTAGTCTGAATACAAAATTATCTCAACAGTTGATTATGCTTGCTGAAGTATTGGAGTAGAAGTAATATTAACAGTAATGATAATGATAAGTGATAATAAGGATGGTGATAATGATAACGAATAAATAATTCCACTTTCTCTTTAGACTTTGCTTCATCCTTTTGGGTTAAGGCATTAGTGATAGTTTTATTTTTATTAGTTTTGTTATTATTTTTTATTATTATTGTTATTATTATTATTATTATTATTATTATTATTATTTATATTATTGTTTTATTACAAATCATTTTTGCTACTCTTGTGTGTTCTGTTACTGTGAATATTACTACTACTATGTTAATTTTGTATTATTACTCTGCATTTTCAGTTAAAAAATATGATGCTACTTTATGCTTGGCACGATGTTACTGGAGCAAATATTTCTTATTAAATTGTGAATAGTTATGTTTGATATATACTGCTTCTCATTAATCAGTTTTGCATATGATTTATTATCTTACATTTATGTTGCCTTTATGACTGAAAAATTGCTATTTAAGGTTTAATGTTGTATGTTTCTTCTTGTTATTAAGTATCTTATTCAGCTACTAACAGTGTAAACTAAATTCACATGAAGAGTACCAGAGAGAAATTACAAGAATGGGAAAGTAAATATTGGAAGAAAATTTTTGAATGCATATTTGGCTTATGAGTAACACTGCAACTGCTGACCCTTAATTTCTAGCTGAGTTGTATGCTTGTGTAAAAAATAACAAAGCTTGATAATTAAAAACAGTCTATACCTAGAAAGTGCAGATAGAATGGATGAAGGAAATTTTAACACTTGGAAAATGTATACAATATACTCATGCATTCGGTCATCACATACACCAAAAAAGTGTTTGGAAACCCAAAGCTATTAATGATTTAATTTAGGGTTGTTTCTGATGAGCTTTTTCATTTTTACTTGTAGTTTATAGTTTTTCTGATTATAGAATCTATTGTCATCGAATAAATATGAATTTAGTCTGTCTGATAGGTGCCCCCAGTATAGCTACCTAGAAATGTATTAGGATGTTAGATCATGCTGACTTGTCAGCGATATCTTAAGTCACAACTTACATAAAACGTGTATCAGGTTTTTGTGTTACTGCAGCACAGATAAGACCACAGTATAGAAGATACAGTGTGTGGTGTAAGACAGTATTACTACAGGGTTTTACAGAAAGCAAAACTCATTTATAACATGAAAATATGAGTTTGAAATTTGTACTATGATTAAGCCACATTGAATCTCCGTTTTGTGGCTAGGCATAAGCCAAAACTTCTTTTGTGTTATCTGCAGTGGATGATAAGCTTTACCGTTCATATAATGAGTTTAGATTGGGATCTGTGCTGAAATGTTAGTTTAGATTCATTATTCATAATGCTATAAATTCTAAGTTGACTTAAATAATGTTATCAAGCAGAACGTATTAATGTACTTTGGACACATAATGCCAGTTTGCTTGAATGAAGAAAAAGTTGACTATTAACCCTCTCTAAATTGCTGTTAAAAGAGTTAGGTTTAACTAACTAACCAAACAGGCTAGGTGGCAGCCTATAAACTTTCCCTTCTATTTATAAAGAAGTAAAAGAAAAAAATGATACAGTTCTCTGTTTCATGTAGTTCAAAAGCCTTCTGTGATGGCTTATGAAAGGGCTTGTACGCAACTTGGTTTATTTTATGATGGAAGGTTACTTTGTTTCAGCCTTTTACTTATGTAATACAGTGTGTAATAGAAGTTACATTGTCTGTATCCAGAAGTACTAGCCTCCCATAGCTACTTAGTTTCATTTTTACCTTCGCAAAATGGTTCCTAGTCTTTTGCAATAGAAAGCACTTGAAGTGTAAGTATGGTTGAGTCAGCCATAAAGCTGAAAGTAAATATATGCAAAGATATAATATTTTACTTGGTCAATGCACTTGTATTTTCCCTTCATTGTGTGGCATATCTGTCCACTTCAAGTATTCATTCATTCATCAGCATTCTAAGTGAAAATATGGTATTGATTGATATGCAGATTATGGAAAGTAATTTTCATTGTGAAATCAAATAGTTTTTGCCATTTTGCCATTTGAGAACGTCATATTGGGTATTAGTAACAAACAAAAATGTTTAGTAAAACCGTTACAAAACAAATAAAAAGAAATGACAAACGAAAAGACAGGCATTATTTAATTTTATCTTGAATCCAACATTTATTTTGCTTTTAAGAATTTCTATTTGAGAAGCATGTCATCTGTCATTGTGGTTTAGCAGTTTGTTTAACCCAATGCATGAAAGGCCATACCATGCCCGCTATGAATTTTGTTTGTCTACACACACATGGCCCTACACATTCTTAGGCACCAGTGAGTCAATTACTAGTATTATTTCATGTTTACCCTTTTCCATGATATCTGGAAATATTTTCTTTTATCATATATTGCTATTAGTATGTTAAAATGATATATAATACTTATGATGTTTATAAGAATAGCATTGATATTGAAAATTCAAATTCAAATGAAAATTCAAGGAAAGGAAAAATCAGGTTAGGTTACAAGCTCTACTAATTACTCCTTGGTGGCTGAGCAGTTGTGGAGCCTTCTAGATGTAGAGACATTTCACAAAATCAGTATACATAATATTTCCCCAGTTAAGGTAATCAAGCAACTTGCAAGAAAGGTGTGTAAGTTTACCAGTGCAATATAATATTCCTTCAAATGTATGTTTCCATTTTCTGGTCATCGTTTTTAATGGAGGACTGATTATAGAAATGATGTGGTTGATAACCCATTTTGAAACATTGGTGGACAATATTTGATATTTGTGTGTTATTATACTGAAGTTGTGTTTTATGCAAAGATTTCTAGATTTTCAGAATGTACACTAGAAAAAGTTATTTGAATAGTTAATATATAATGAAATCTAAACTTTCTCTTGAAAATGCAAAGAAACAAAAACTCCCAAGACAAATTATCAAATGCCATTACTAAAAAATATAAAATTTAAACACCTAGTCCATCAAGTTCTCTTAGACTGAATCACTTGTAAGAAACCTATCTATTTTTTCAGCTCTGTCATTTTTCTCTGTATGCTTTAGTCAAAATACAGGTGCATCACATGCAATGTGTACTCTTGTTATTGCCCATCTAATAAGTAAATCCCCACCCACCCTAATCCCATGCCCAAGCGCCCCTTGTTGTCAAGGGGCGCTTAGGAGAAGAGGACTAAGGCCCTATGTAGGGGATCATCCCTGCCTTGGGCCTCAACTAATTTTGCATGGTCTTTTCGTTTCCTCTGCTCCTTTTTTCTTTCTTCATCCCCTTCGTCCACATCCTAAAGTATGAGAGCAGTGCTGAAAGGAAGAAAGACTTACTTTGTCAGTCTTGAATGGCCTTAGAACTCTGTTTGCTCATTCCTCTTTACCCTTTTCACTACCATACAAACCAGCAGTGCTCTACAACCTTTGGCATCTAACATATTTTGTCCTAATCAGTAACTCATTTTTTAACCTTTTTGCAGCAATATATCATAATGCTGTATGACCTTCTGTTGCCTGGGTCTTTGCCCCCAAGCCTCGCCTAAATTGCTACATTTTGTATACGCTGCTAATGACCTTAGATGTTGACAGCAGAAAATTTTCAATAAGTAAATAAATGAAATAATAACTAAGTGGATATGTACAACAAAAAATAAATTTGCTTAAGCAGAACATTTTCCTCTTGAATTCAAAGAAGCTAGAGTTCTTGAAGGTTATCAATTTTTTTTTTTTTCTGATTATTGTTTACTTATTTATTTATTTATATATTTAATATTTATTTATCTCTATCTTTCTATTCTATCATCTTATGTAAATCTTGACTTACCCAGAGCCTAAACCCGTAATGATGTTTATATGTCAGGTTGCCTGGTGTGTTCAATATGATCTTGGGTTCTTTCAATGGTACTTCAATGTAAGCTTTACATTGCTTTTAACCACTTGCTGCCAGGGATGGCATGTGCATACATGCCATGCCCATTGTGTTTAATTTAGTAATTATCTTCACATATATATGGCGCCACAAGTACTAAGTCACCAATGAGCCAATTACAGGAACTACCTGTCTTACCTGTTTACCCTTTTCCTTGATTTTTGATAATAGTTTCTAGTATTTGATCGTGCTATTAGTAATGTCAGGAACAATATAGTAATATATATGTTTATAGCAAAAATAACTTGATGTTAATTGCATTAGTGAAAAAAGCATTTTCCCACTATTTCAAGAAAGGTGAGGTCACAAGATCTACTAATTGACTCCTTTGTGGTTGACCACCGGCAGAGACATATATGTACAGAAACATTTAACAAAACAATACGAAAGTGAACACTACATTTTCCCGTTGGAATTGGGTTAAGATTAAGACCGTGACAAACATTTAACCTTGTCAACCTAATGTATATGTTATATAAAAATGTATCACTGACTTGTAACTCCAATCTTAACATTTCAGATCTTGGTTCAATACAAGGAATGTTTAGATTTATTATAGGCACACAGGAAGTTTTATAATTGAACAGGGATGCCCATGTCCTTGCTTATGTTAAAGTTTTATCCAGCTTCACTTGTTCTCTTGTGTTTCTGCTTAGAAATTATGAAAATGTTTTTGGGAAATGTCAACACTTAATGCTTTTTAACCCATTAACCCCAGGTAAAAAAAAAAAAAAAAAAATTGGTAAGTGGTCATTAACGTGAGCTTGTTGGCACGCATCAACAATTTCCTGTTTGCAAATTTCTCATTCAGTATATTGCAGGCAACATTAGGCCTGCAAAAGATTGCATTTTGATATAATTTAAAATAACTTTTAGAAAGTTGAAGGTTGCCTTCACTTCAGGTGCTGTTGCCTAAACTTTAACCATAGAAATGATGTCATGACTATTGGAGAAAAACAAGCTTTGTCTGATGTGCCAACAGTGTGAGAATGGTCATGATACCTTGCCACCTGCTACTTTGTCCACAACAGCTATGGCATATATGTACATGCCCCCCAGTGGCATGAGGTTGAAGAGCAGCAAAATTATGAATATTTCAAGTAGAGATAGTATCAAGTTCTACTGCCTCCCCCCAGTCCATTGTTCATTGTCATTATGGGGCTTAGGAGACGGGATCATCCCTAATTTGGATCTCAGCCCTTGCCTCAACTAATATTGCACGATCTTTTCTTATCCCCCTTTCCTTTTCCTTTTCTTAATCCCCTTCTTCTGTCCACATCCCAAAGTGTGAGAGCAATTCTGAAAAGATGAAAGGCTGGCTTTGTGTCAGTCCTGAATGCCCTTCATACTCCGTTTGATCTTTCCTCTTTACCCTTTTCACTATCATACTAACCTGCAGTGCTCTACAACTTTTGACATGTAATCTATTTTGTCCTAATCATCAACTTATTTTTGCCTTTTTCACCTCAATATTTTATAGTACTGTATGACCTTTCCTTACCTGGGGCTTCTTCCCCAAGCCTCACATTATTGCCATATTTTGAATACAAAACTAATGACCTTTGATGTTGACATGGTAGAAATTTTTCAATAAATAATAATAATAATGATTTCTACAATAATTATAAGGATAATTTCTCTCATTTGCTGTATCATTCTAGAGCAGTAGACTGCAATTACCTTCACAACATACATGCACAACATATATATGTAGTTGAAGGAATTCAGATGAAATTCAGTTTCAGAAAGTGGGAATCAACATTAGGGAGACAGTTTGTATGTGAAAGAACAAACGTGGATTTTCCTTTGATGATCAAGAGTATTTAAGGGATGTACCACTCCATTGATGAAGCATATAGCAAGATCAGATAGTGTCCATATACGTAAAATATGTTAATGATACAAGATGTGAACAAGTAAATGAAGTCTTCATGTAAAGTTATGTTTCTTGATATTCATGTATAACAGAAAGTGAAAATCAGGACTTCCTTAAGTCTAAACCAATGATGCAAGTGGGCATATATACATATTGTGTTAAAGGTGAGCCCATAGGCTGGATGGTGCATACATGTTAACAATAGAGGATGCCCTGCTCTGCCTACTGCAGAGGACAGGGTGCTAGAATCAAATATAAGTTGAGAAAACATTATCCCTGCAATTCCATGCAGCTGACCTTGATAATAATGTAATGGCAAGTGCATTCTGATTATCTCCTTGTGTCATTTTGCTAATTCAAGGGGAACCAAAAAAATATGGTTTGATCATAGGCAGGTGGAAGAATACTTTCATGCTAGAACAGGTAACCTACATAAGTTAATGTTTTAAAGATTCAATCCTAATGTAAAGACTACAATAGTTGAATTATATTGATGCAATAAAAAAACTAATGCTAAGGTCATACATTTAATATATAGATTATACTGTGTTAGCACTGTTGTAAGGAATATTTTTTCAAAAATGGGACAAATTTTTCAGAGGGCAATTAATGCACATATATTGATGTACAGTTCATACATTAATTTAGGACATAGATTGTCTAAATCCCTACAAATATGAGGATGAATATGGCAGATGCCAAATTTGACAATTTATTTAGTGTTACAAAGAACACTGGCACCTCAGTGATGTTCAAACCTATTTTCAAAACCATGGAACAATAATAACTTCATAGGTGTCTCACTACAGGTCAAACAATTTTCAGTACAGAAAATATATCGTATAGAACTGAAGCCTTAAACGAAATATTAACATAGTGCACTTCTCCGATTAGTATGGTGAGTTCTTCATACAATTATAAGACAGATGTACTATCTAATATGATA